CATGTTTATTTCAGCCACGTGTGAATTAGCGCATGTTTATTTCAGCCACATTTGAAGTAGCGCATGTTTATTTCAGTCACGTGTGAATTAGTTTATTTCAGAATTGTACACTCTTGGTGTACACGCTTCCATAAAACATGAGAAGTTTACCAACTTCCGGTCATCAATTTGTGAGTCAAAAATAAATGGGATGTCTTTTCACTGAATTCATTCACATTGAAATCCCGATACTATCGATAACATGTTTCAGAAAACTTCATCAATTATACGAAACGCTACTCCTACAAGTGTAAATTTAAATCGTATATATCATTGTATTACTTCATACACAACTTTAATTTGAAATAACTTGTACTTAACTATAGAGATGGCGCCATATTGTGCGATAAACAACATGTTTACATTAAACAGTACAGGTAAATACGACGTCATAGTGCGACGGTTTATGATCGATTAAAGAAACATGTCACCACTGAAGCACTGTGCACATGAAGAGATAATCCGTATTGTATTTACAGTGTTAACTATTTTGTTTACCTCGCATCCACCTTAGTTAGATTAAGAAACTAAACTACTTCAATGAATCTAACAGTACTCATATGGAGCCGCACACTCAACATATAAAAACATCGATAAATCTATATTCGACAAGTCACGAAAAAAATGGGAGTTAAGGGGGCTTCCATACCTTATCTGGTTATCGCTCAATTACACCCAATCAGGAACGTGTAGAATAGTGTTCAACAGATTCATTTCATTGTATCAGATGGTACAGGATATCTAGAGCTGTAACATCATGGACTGCCAATTCGCCTTTTTTGTTGCGGTTTTATTCCAACTCACGGTATGTACATTTTTACGCTCGGTAATGTTTGATTTCATATGTATTATCACCAGTGACAGTACAGAAATAATGGAATATAAATTGGAATTCTCGTAAAATGTTTGCTTCACTATATACGTGTGATGGGATCATTTTCCACAATGTAAACTTCATGTAACAGAGATCCATAATCAAGATGGCAACTTTCCAAAAAACAAACAAACAAGTAATTGACATACGCCTTACACATACAATACACGCTATTTTTTCATTTCCGTTTTAGGCCGCGGCACCAACAGATATTAAAGGTATGTGAATTGTGAATAATGCATGATAAGAAATATTGAATATTAACGTTTATTGAATTTATATGGAGCAATAAAACATTTTTTTCACTTTTCAACGATTCATTGGGAAATCCGTAGTAGCAATACGCAATCTGCATTAATATGTTAATTCGATGATTGATATTGTCATAAGGTATTGCTAACTCTATCCTATCACCTGGCGATTCTAGTCGATTAAAATTTTTGCCTTCAGGTCCCCCAGTATGTATCATCGATGGCGATGTTCACAGGACGTTTGATGGATTTGACTACACTTATTCTGGATATTGTACGTATACAATGGTTAGAGATAGCCGAACGCATCCGACATTTTTTGTCATCGTGGAGCATAAGTTCCACCCAGGTAATTACTTATTACTTTATTTTAAAAAATTGTAAATATTGTTTACTTGACGACACTAATATAAAAGTCGACCTCTACTCATAAGTGAGAGTATCAAGACAATCTCTCAAAATTTTACTATGTTTTCCTGTGGTAAAATGTGTTGATGATAATATAAGTTTAAAAATGAGCGGTTATGAATTATAATCGAGTCGTATAGTGAAGATAGCTTCTCGTATTTGACTTTTTAGCGAGGTGAAATTGCGTGAAACTGTTATATTTTAACAGGATAATTGTTCTGTAAAATAGATGTTTTTGATATTATACTAACACTGGAAAACCATGTTGTTATTTTTCAGAATTTTTTTATTATTGAGATTTATTTTCTTGACCTATTTAAATCTCAATATTGTCAGAAAATTATATAGCCTTATTTTCCACTTTTTAACTGCAGCTGAAAATAAGCCTTCGCACGATAGTATAGTTCTAAGTTACATGTATTTAGGACAAAGGTTATTGTTTACTGTGCTTACGGAAGCGTATCATGTGAATATCATTCTGAGTTACAAAAAATAAAAACCTTTGCATCATAGTATTTATTTATAACATGGAACTGTTTCACACAACAGCCAGTTTTTTCTAATTAACTCTGTCCCAACGAACAGTTTTATATCAATTTAGACATTAAATAGGCCAATCCATTCAATCGACTCCATCAATATTTATGAATAGTCTTCTGCAAAATGATCAAAACAGGTTCGTGTATGTCACCAAATAATCAACGAAATTAACATGTTTTGAAAACTTCTTATTATGTCAGTTCCACTTTAAACTAAATAGTAATATAGCTAATTTTTTGCATAAAAAACCCACCAGCAATTTACGATCAATGACGAATTCTACAACGTAAACGTTTGCGTGTACTGATGCACTAACACTATCGAAGAATGTCTCTACGTTACGTGGAACACACACAATTCTGTATATTGCAACCCAATCCCGTGATGCCCAAATTATGGACATCTTCATTACCTAACATTGCATGTTTTTAATCATTTGTTTATTTTCAAATACTTTATATATTCTTGATACAGATGTAAACGCCCGTCTTACAGAATTTACTGTCTGGGTAAAAGGAAGACACATCACCGGAAGAATAAACCCTCAAAACATGCAGCCTTTGTTTACAGACGTGAGTATGTTATTGTGACATTTTATTTTATGTATAGCCTACTCTACACTATTTATTCCATGTAAATTACATTGTTCATTACTTTAAACAGGAAAACAATATAACAATTAGTGTGAATGATGAATTCCAAGTAGGACCCGACATTGTTGTCAATTATGATGGTCACAACTATGAAATAACGGACAGAAACACACTGACTGTCATATGGGACGGATTGTACCGCTTAGTGATCACCATTGACAAGAATAATCTTTCAAAAATCATTGGTATGTGCGGCAATAATGACGGTGATCCCGGGAACGACCTGCGAACGAGAGGTGGTATTCTCATTGATCTGGAGCACAGTAGTATTGAGGATTACGCCCGTACTTGGGAAGTCACTAACTCGTACGTAATCCATCTACATTTTTTTCTGACGTAACCCATCTAGACACTTATCTGACGTAACCCATCTACACTCTTATTATCTGACGTAAGCTATCTACACTCTTATTATCTGACGTAACCCAACTTCACTCTTATTATCTGATGTAACCCATCTAGACACTTATCTGACGTAACCCATCTACACTCTTATTATCTGACGTAACCCATCTACACTCTTATTATCTGACGTAACCCATCTACACTCTTATTATCTGACGTAACCCATCTACACTCTTATTATCGGACGTAACTTATATACACTCTTATTATCTGACGTAACCCAACTTCACTCTTATTAATTGGCGTAACCCATCTACACTTTTTTCTGACGTAACCCATCTACACTCTTATTTTCTGATGTAAGCTATCTACACTCTTATTATCTGACGTAACCCATCTACACTTTTTTTCTGACGTAATCCATCTACACTCTTATTTTCTGACGTAAGCTATCTACACTCTTATTATCTGATGTAACCCATCTACACTCTTATTATCGTACGTAACCCATCTACACTCTTATTATCGGACGTAAGCTATCTACACTCTTATTATCTGACGTAACCCATCTACACTCTTATTATCTGACGTAACCCATCTACACTCTTATTATCCGATGTAACCCATCTACACTCTTATTATCTGATGTAACCCATCTAGACACTTATTATCTGACCTACCCCATCTACACTCTTATTATCTGACGTAACCCATCTACACTCTTATTAGCTGACGTAACCCATCTACACTCTTATTATCTGACGTAACCCATCTGCACTCTTATTATCTGATGTAACCCATCTACACTCTTATTATCTGATGTAACCCATCTAGACACTTATTATCTGACCTACCCCATCTACACTCTTATTATCTGACGTAACCCATCTACACTCTTATTATCTGACGTAACCCATCTACACTCTTATTATCTGACGTAACCCATCTACACTCTTATTATCTGATGTAACCCATCTACACTCTTATTATCTGATGTAAGCTATCTACACTCTTATTATCTGACGTAACCCATCTACACTTTTTTTCTGATGTAATCCATCTACACTCTTATTTTCTGACGTAAGCTATCTACACTCTTATTATCTGATGTAACCCATCTACACTCTTATTATCAGACGTAACCCATCTACACTCTTATTATCTGACGTAACCCA